GTAGGATGAAAACAAAAGAATACCACCATGCTGCTCGTGTCTGGGTTTCCATGCATGAATGTGATGTGTGTGTGAGTCTACATCTAGGTGTGTGTGGGTGTGTGTGTGTGTGTGTGTGTCGATGAGGGCTTCAGGGTGCGATGATGTCTTACATAATAGGAGAGCAGGTATGAAGAGCTGTGCTGGGTGTGCTCTGAGGTATGTGTGTCACTGTGTATACATGCATGTGTGGGTGTGTGTCTGCACCTTCTGAAAAAAAAAAAACCCTGAAATGACCATTCATGATTTTGTGTGTACACAAACAGGCTCTGTGTGCGTAAATCAGTCTGCAGGGAGTGTCTGACTGACTTGATTCAGCTTTTTTAATATCTCCTGTGTCATCTGCAGCAGCGTGTTTGGATTAATATTAAATGAAATGCTGCACTACACATCATTATAGTGTTCAATTATTCACGACCGGTTTAGTAGCGCACTTCCTTTTAGCTGGAGCTCTCTCTGTCAGGCATGATTTCACTTCTTTTTCATCCTTTTAGTGCACTCGTTTCATGCACATAAACAGCTCCGCAAGCATCCTGGTTTTCTCTCTCTCTCTCTCTCTCTCTCTCTCTCTCTCACTTTGTGTCTGCAGAGATGAACGCTGTTTTAAGAAGGAGTTCAGAAAGCAAAGAGATGAGTGCAACAGGCCTCGACTTCCTGTCAGCTCTTGTTAAAAGATGTTCTGATTGTTACCTCGGCTAAGTGCTCGTTCTCCAGATTACAGAAAAACTTCTCGTCGGATTGTCGTGTAACTTTTGTGGATGTTTTGTAGCGTAGACTAAGGAAGAAGCCTTTTTAATATTGGAGCAGATGAAGTTTTTACTTGAAGCTTTAATCGTAGATCTGATTGGTTGATTGCAGGATTTCAGAAAAACAACCGGAGACATGTTGATTTTTTTTTTTTAGACTTTTGAAGAGGGGAAAAGTTCTGAATCTTTATCAAACAGAATCTACAGGATTGTGGAACTGGAAAAGAGTGGCTGTGGTTCAGTTAGTAGAGTTGGCCGTCTCTTAACTGGAAGGTCAGGGGTTCGATCCCCAGCTCCTGCAGACACATGTCCGATGTGTCCTCGGGCAAGATACTTAACCCCATGATGCTCCCTCTGCTTCGTCTGCAGTGTATGAATGGATGAGTTAATACTGATGGACTCTTTACTCAGCAGCCTCTACCATCAGTGTGTGAACGTGTATGAATGGATGAGTTAATACTGATGGACTCTTTACTCAGCAGCCTCTACCATCAGTGTGTGAACGTGTAGGTGTGACCTGAGGTGGGTCATCAGAAGACTAGAAAATAAATATACAAGCTGAAGCGTTCTGGTTTTAGTTTATCTGCATCATTCCTCCTCTTGTGTTTTTTTTATTGGTCTGCAGAGAGCAAGAGGAGCCAGCCGTCGCTCTATGAGTCAGCTTTTATTAATGTCTACAAACACATGTCAGCTTCACCCCCATCTGTACTTCATTAGTTGCTGACAGGACGGTAACACTAAAAAGTGTTTTCTTGCTAACAGCTGGTGTCACTGGAAAGTTTTCTGAGTTGAAGCGACCTCAGAATAACTCTGCTTGTGTAGCTGCGCTTATGAAAGTTGTTCCTGAAAGATCTGTGGGCCCTGAACGTCCTAACCAAATCTTCATTCTTGAAACTGAAAAAAGGAACTTCGCTCCTGGCTTTGTGTGTAATTTTCCTAACATTTTCCTTCGCTCTCAGAGGCTTCACCATCATCAGACAATAGAGGTGGCACATTATCAAGATAATGTGATCACTTCTTCTCTTACTGTTTTTCATTGAGATTACTCCATGCTGCATAAAGTTTAATAATCCCAAAACAGGTCCACTCCCATATTTATAGATTTGCACAAAGAGTAGACCAGTGTGGTCAAACATGCAAAACAGCCAAAGGTGAACGACATCTATAAAAAACACAATTTAAATATGACCACAAAGGAAGAATAGTACTGCACGATTATTTAACCATAGTATTAAACAAATCATTTTTCAAGGAAGAATACCCACTGAAACAATGAAAAGATAGAGACACACTCACAGACGTCTGTTGTCTCTGAGTGTCCCTCATGTTGTTATTTTAGATTTAATCTGTCATTAGTTTGCAGGACATCAAACACACCTCTTTAAAGCCTTCGTTGAATGAGCTCACATTTCTCTCTGCAGTGACTAAATATAAAATATTCAGTTTACTCAATCAATCTTTGTTTGTATAACACCAAGTCTATAACAAATGTTATGTCAAGACAAAAAGAGCAGACCTTAACCAGTATGTAACAAAGACCTGACGTTAATCCATCAGGAGCACGTTAGAAACGATTAGCTAAAGTTACAGTAGAGAGGAAAAACGTCCTTTTAGAGGCAGAAATCAAAAGTTTCAAAAGCTGGTAATTGTAAATGTAACTTTTGCAGAGAAGTTTACCGAGCAGCAAAAAAAAGAAGTGATTTCACTTTGTCTCGTTTGTCTCTTTGTGTTTCTGTCCCTGTCGAACTTTTCACCAGGTTTCCGTTTACTCTTGAATTCCTCTTTACACTCATAGCAACATCGTTTACACACAGTCACACACACTCTCACACACACACACACTCACAAAAAAAAGATACACAAACATCCCCATCTCTCCTTCTGTTGTTTGCATTGTCGGGTTTTTTCTCACCGGGATTGCTTTGGCAGAAAATCACCACAAGTTAGGCCAGAACCTGAGAGGAGGCTCAGGAAGGAGGAGGAGACGAGGAGGAGACGAGTAGGAGACGAGGAGGCGACGAGTAGGAGACAGAAATATGATGAGCAGAGGAGAGAAAGAAACAGGAAGAGGGAGATGTGAGTGAGTGAAAGAGCAGATAATGAGTGAAAGTGGAGGTTTATGAAAGGGGAGGAGGAAACATTTAGTCTAAAGAGGATTGATCTAAAGAGAGAGATAGTTCAGACTGGGGCGTATGATGACAGAGGAGGAGGAGGAGGAGGGAAAGTTAGCAGCGTAGGAGGATTTTTGCCCAAATTTCTCTGCCCCCTCCTCTCGGGCTTGGCAACAGTCAAGTAGACTGAAACCATCTGGTGTATTTTTTTTATTTTATTTCAGCGCTTTTTTTTTCTTCACAACCTGCAGACAGACACAAAAGACAACACATGCAGGATGAAAAAATACTGAAAGATGTTTTTTAACAATGGGTTCTAAATAAAACCTCCTGCTAATTATTTACATTTCCTGGTTGAAAACTAAAAGTCCTGCAGACGAGCGAGCACAGCGAGTCCCAGACCATAGAATAATCAGTCAGAAAAATCAATAATAAACGTTATCATCAAAAGATGTCAAAAAAAACATAAATTTAGGAATATTCCTTCATTACAGGATGAGATGAGTCTTTGTATAATCACATTGGCTCCAGCCTCCTTTCTTAACGACACATTTTGAGAAAAAGACTAATCTTGTTTTTATGTATTTATTAAAAAGGTTTTTAACCAGGAAAGCCTCATTAGGATAATAATCTCATTCACAAGCGTGTCACGGCCATGAGAACTAATGCTACATTCAGGTGCTGCTCGGGTCGTCCCAGTTTCCCAGATGGTAAGTCGTTCTCCCGACTTCAGTGAGATCTGGTGATTTCAGTTCGGAAAGTCGGTGAAATCAGTGAAATGTCACTGTTATATTTGTTATAAGTTATATTCGAGCAAAAAGTTGATGTGCAATACGTGAATTATTAAAAATAATATTTTGCCCCTCATGGTAACAAAATTGACGTCAAGTCGGCAGGTAGGGCACCTACTTCTTTCCCGAGTTTCAGGGGTTGTTGTTCCGACTTGAGCAGGTGTTCATGTGCATTTTACAACTTCGAAACACATTTTTCCGTTGTGTCTGACACCACATGAATGCACCAAAAGTCCCAGACATTAAACATTAAGATCAACCAATCCAGCAGATCTACCATCTACAACCAATCAGAGCACGGGCATGTCCAGAGGGACATGCCACAACAAAATCCTTACCTATGATTGGTTATTGGCCTTGACAGAGGTGGGACTTAAGTTGGAATCCACCATTCAGGATGTGTTGCAACAGGCAGCTCGTAGTTCTCAGTGTGCAGATGTTTGTTTGCAATTTTTTTAAATACTTTAAATTGAAAGTTTGGACATACAAATTGTTTTGAATCCTTGAAGAATGAAGTTTAGAAGATGTATAAGTTGCCATCATCTTGCGTTACTTAAATCTTGATGTGATTGGTGCAGACAGAAAGGGTTTATAAATGCTCTCCATTCATGTGTGTGCACAAACTTCAGGCCACCCCTGCTCTAGTCAGAGCCCCAGTTGGGCCACCCCAGTCCAAAAAAGTCTGGACACGCCCCTGAATCAGAGGCAGTTTGTATAAGACAGAGAGTCTGATGCGCTGTGAACAGAGCGATACATCACAGTATCATCTGCATATAAAGACAAGTTTGGATTGAGAACATAATTACAGATGCTGTTGATATGAAATGTAAATAATAGCGGTCGAGCAGGAATCCAGGAGGTGCTTTTCTTGACACACTGAACCTTTTGCTGTCAGAGTGAAGGTTGAACTCAAAGTAAAACTTGTGTCATTTGGTCTCGGGGATATCGTTTGTGCTGAAAATTGCAAATTGCATTTCTTATTGTTATTCAGTAACTTATCAGCTACGGTAATTATTGTTTTCACACGGCTATCTGGTCAGCAAATGAGGGATGAACTCCTTCTCTAGCAGGTATTGGAAGGATTTGTCCAAATTCAACTTTAAATAAAAAGAGCTGTAGTGGGAAGAAGAAGAACTTCTCAGCTCCAGGTTTTGTTCCCGTTTCTGTACAGACTTTAAACGTTTGCTTTGTGTCTGGTTGTGCGAGTATCGTTGTGTATCCTCCTCCTCCTGCATTTAGATGTGTTCAATAGTGCGTGGACTGAAAGGACCACATGCATCTCTCTTGTCCTGGCAGCCTTTAAAGTCAATAAA